TCAGCCATTCCTCCTCATGCCAAGCACCATGGCTTCCCCTCCGCTCTCCTGTCCTCAAAGGACCATGGATGTTTGGAGGCCAAGGCTGCAGGCGGGAGAGGCGTCTTTTTTGTCTCTTACAATCTGCCCTCACAACGCAAAACTCAGCAAGCTTTTGAAGTCTCTGCAACTTGACAAACTGTGATGGCTTCTCTAAGGAGCAACAAACAACATACTGCTTTTGGTCATCATTTTCCCCCCTTCGGTCTTAAGATTAACAGATGGGTCCAAAAGATGGGTCTCTGCCTCTCCCATGGCACTCTTAGCTAACCTTGAAATCCCTAATGCTTGGCAGGGTCTTCACTCTGACATGGTGCCCTCCCCTCCCTTCAGGGGTCCTTGAATGCTGATCCAGGAAGACTCCTTCCCCAGGGAGTCAAAGCCCTTGTGAGTCTGGACACACAGAAACAACAGAGCAAGTACTTCCCCTGTCCTTGTACCACAGAGACCATAGGAGACTCATCTCACCATTACTGTATAAATACCCAAGGCACCCAATCAACCAATGGAAAAGAAGTTATGGAAGCTTCATCACTGGAAGCTTTCAAGAAGAGACTGGATCTGTCAGAAATGGTGTAGGGCCTCCTGCCTGGGCTGGGGGAGTTGGACTAGATGACCTACAAGGTCCCTTCCAACTCTGTTTATTTGTAACTATCCAGACAAATGGAAAGCATCAATATTGGAACGTGGGAGGAGGAATGACTGTCCCAAATGGCCTGCTTAGAAAACTCAAAAGGTTTTTTTTGTGGTCGGGGGGCGTTCGATTTGTAAGTGGTGCCCAGTTGTTAAGAAGAAAATGCACAAAAATATGGAGAAATGGAAAGGAAATCCTGCCAGGAAAAAAGACCAAAGGGACAATTTTGGAAATTAGGTTTATAATGACGGGCATCTCTTCTGCCTGGATGCCCCTCCCAAGGCCCCCTTGTCAAGGGGAAGACCCTGTGGAGACCTCCGGATGGGGATGGCAGAGGCTCAGCCCAGAAGGGACCCTCATTCCGGATGCCTAGATGCCCCCCGTCGCCTTGCCTAGAGAGAGACCGCAGATGCGTTGTGCCTTATTTCAAGCTACTGAGGAACGACAGGAGGCTAATTCACAATAACTACCTATTTAACGTTAACAGGTAAACTAACAGGCTGCCTCTGTCTGACAGCTATTTATACCTACGGCTGTCAGACAGAACCAATCGGGAGCCTGCGATTCTCCCGCCAGCCTACCGGTGCGTCAGAGCCAATAGGAATTGCTCCGGGCTCGTTTGTAGTTGCGCAGTCACGCCCCCGAGGACTTAACAGGGGGAGTGGAAAAGTCGCAGAAGAGCCCCTTAAGCCGCGCATGACTGAATTGGGGCGGTGGGTGGGGGGGAGAGAAGACCAATCCCACAGTTCAAGGGAAGCCCGCACCCCCCGTCTCCACTCTGCGCAGGCCCAGAACGGCCCTCGGCACTGCGCAGGCGTCAACTGGCTCACTGTGGAAGGCCGACAGCGATTGGTCTTCCAGGGGACGGCGGCGATTGGCAGGGGCCTCGTCCCTTAAGAGGAATAGGAGCAGCTTCTAAAAAAGGGCGCGGAACTAGCTCCCGCCTCCACTTCCGGAACCAAATAGAGCCTGAGGCGATTAATTGATTCGGCTGCGGACGGTCTCGGAGACGGGAAGGGCGTAGAGTCTGAGACGGCGTCGCTCAGAGAAGGGAGACTGAGGCCGGGTCTGGCTACCGGACACTGTTGGGTAGAGAATGTATCAGCCTCCGTCCTGCCCCGAAGGACAGTATGAGGGGAGGCTTCGGCCTTCTTCCCCGGCCGGACCTGAGTCTCCACTGCGGGGAAGGGGAGAAAGTCGCGCCGCCCGAGAGGAGGAGGAGAGCGGGCCCCGCGTGCCTCTGCCGGAAGAGAGTGGGGAAGGACCTTCAGGAAGGATGAGCCGAGAGAGAACCTTGGAAAGGTCGCTACCTGGTGGGCGATGCAGGGAGGAGGAAACGGGGTCCTTCGAAAGACCTGGGAATCTCCAAAGGATCAAGGAGGGAGGAAAGAAATATCAGTGTCCAGAATGTGAACAATCCTTCAGAAGAAAGGACTATCTTGAAAAGCATCTAAGAATCCACTCAGGAGAGAAACCTCACAAGTGCCTGGAGTGCGGAAAGAGCTTCAGTCATTTGGCAAACCTTTATAGGCATCAAATGATCCATTCAGGAGTCAAACCATATAAATGCCTGGAGTGCGGAAAGAGATTCAGTCAGAGGAGCAGTCTTGATAGACATGAAAGGATCCACACTGGAGAAAAACCATACAAATGCCTGGAATGTGGAAAGAGCTTCAATGTGGTGGGAA